GGAAGGAAGCCAGCTTTTGCCTGCTCTACCCACATGATTTGAAAAGAATAGACGCTTGAGCCCGATGAAGCTGCTGCCCCAGCAGACGGTATCTTTGTAGTGCTGGTGCCTGGACAATGTTTGCAAATTGTAGTTGCTGGGAGACAGTGTCAGCAGAGTCTCTTGCTGCTCCCGTCAGATTCTTAAATACGTGACTCTACATACTAGTCCCCTTGGAACACACCGAGAAGGTGCAGGTGAGCTGAAGAGAACGGGGGGTGGAAGGTGGCGGGAGGCTGTTAGATGGGAGGGTTAAATGGGACAGAAGGAGAACAGGGGTTGGGACTTCACATTCACAGGAATCTTCACAGAAACAAACTTTATTTTTCCAGGGTGATCAATGCAATGGCTGTATAAGCCAAGTGTAACTATAACCTCAAAATGGGAGAACTGTTATTTCCTAGTGGTATCATAATCAACCATCCTCCTGGGCCCTGTGTGAAAGCACCACTAAACTGCTAACTGTGCTAGGAGGGAGAAGAAAGGGCATGCTGCACCTGCTGGGCTCACAGCCTACAGATGGCTCATGGCTACTGAGGGGAGCCCAGCACAGCAGCCCAGACACCCAGACTCACAAGGGTACATGTCACCACACTCAGAAAACACCCAGCCATGGGCCTCCTGTTCTTTCTGTTCTCTCAGTAATTCATATCTCTTTCCAGAGAAATGCTTCCTTTTTGGGTTGTGATGCAGACTCCATTGAGATGTTCCTTCCAGGGGCAGCAAAAACTAATTTGTCAAAGGAACAATGCAATCCCATCTGAAGACTTGGGAGTACTTGGATATACTTACTGAGGTCTCTTTCATGATCAGCTAGATAGGAGAACAATATTCATCTCTAATTCAAGAGAGAAAGCTAAATGGTGCTGGCAAAGATGGCGCTGTTCCTTCTACAGCAGAATTTGTCAAAGTGGTGGCCTGTGAGTCTCCTCATCAGAATTACATGGAATGATGGTTAAAAAGCAGATTTCTGCACCCCACTGCAGGATTACTAAATCTCTGTGGGTGAGGGGTCAGAACCTACATTTTAAGTAAGCTGAGAGTTGTAGTCTTATATCTACTGACATTTGAGAATCAATGTTTGGAGCGGTGGTTCTCAAACCTCGGAGGCCTCAGAATCACTGGAGGGCTTATAGAACAGATTCCCAGGCCCCACTCCAGAATTTCTGATTCAGTAGGGCTGGGGCCTGTGAATTTGCATGCCTAACAAGTTCCTGGGTGCTGCTGATCCTGCTGGTCTGGGGCCGCATTTTGAGAACCACTGGCTTAAAACAATTAAAATAATTTAGTTTGATGTCACTCAGGTGTAACCTACTTACTACTCTGGGGAATACTCAGGATCAGGGTGTTGGGGGTAGTGGTGGCAGACAGCTTATTTCTGTCTGCCCAGGAGGTGAGTGTCTGGGGAAACAGTGCAGGACCACCCGTCCCCGGAGCCAGGCCAGTATGTGCAGGGCACTCAGGGAGCCACTGTGGATTGGCGTGTGTCTTGTCAGATGAGCAGGCTCTGGGCTGGCTCTTCAGACTTTTGGGAATTCAGTTTAGTTTCAGGTGTGCTCTAGGACAAGGCATGAAGAACCAGCCAAACCTAGAGCTTTCACCAGATCCCAGAACTAAGCTGGAATAACCAGAAACACAAAAGTAGGCAGAATCCTCATCACTATGGCTAACCAGGGAGAAACCAGGTCTAAAAAGCCATCTGAGTATATTCCTACATCGACGGGACACCAGGCCTCCAGGCTATTTCAGGGGTCTCAGACTACAGATGTTCCCCTTCTTCCATCTAGAAAGTGTTTCAGGCCTCCACAGCCTGTGGAGGTGTCGGCTGTGGTTCGGGGGTAGCCCACAGGCTCGGCTCCTTTCTTTCATCAGACACCTGCAATTTCCAGTTTTTCCACTAGAGGTCTCAGCAGGACAATGATTATGCTAGGAAGGGGCCGGGAGGAACCTGGAAGAAGATTGAACACTGCACTCCCCTCCCACCACCCAAGCTGGTTGAGTTGTTCAGGGTGCTCTGGGCATAGGGAGAAGTGAGGCAAGAAGCTCATAATCCCCGCCTGCCTGCCCAGCATCCTCAGTGGATCGACCGACTGCTCTCAAGTGGCTGCCCAAGGATGCCATTTTCCTCTTCAAACAGTGCTCCAGTTGTTACAGGAGAAGGAATGGTAACACCAGGGCACTGATGGTTGCCAAGAGGGGCCTGTAGTCCCCCTCCATAATTTCCAACAGCTGCCCCTTCCAAATAACATGGTTGATTGACATTTATCAATCTTATGTGAAGTGACATGCAAATGCAACTTCAAGAATCCCTCGCACACCCCTTCCAGCCAGATTTGCTATCTCTAAGCCCCTTCGCTGCCAGCAATTTTTGGAGCTGAAATTCTATCCTGGTAATCCTTTCTGAGGCCGCAGCTCTGCTGTGCTGTGTTTTGCCCAGCAGCATTAGAACCGAAGAGGTACACAAGAAATTATCCACCTCCATGATTTTCCCCATCCTTCTATATCCTGTCCTGCTCCTCCCACCCAACTTTGAATCAGTATTAGATACAGGGAAGGCTGCTTAGACTCTGGGCTATTTTGGAAAAATTTGGATTTTAAGCCAAACTTGATATATAGAAATCCAAATGGGCCAAAATGTTAAATCATGTGATGATTCTTTGCTCTCTAAAAAAGATTTATTGTAAAAATGCTGTGCATTTACCATGGAAAAAGAAAACTCTGTTAAAATGACATTGCATATTTGGTTAATGTCTGTATTTCCATAATTTTATGTAAACAAGGAATGTATTTCAAAACTATGCTGAAAGCCGGCATGTGTGGGTTTCTATTCTTGCCTAATTGGCTTTCAGATTATTGCCTGACTGCCTCAAAGACCTCCCTGGCCTCATTAACTTGGTTAGCAATACACTGAAAAGGAGAAAATGTAACCCTGTTCACCTAGTAGTTCTCCTTAAGTTCCAGAACTCTAATCAGTTGTATCCTGGGAAGGAGAAAAATAGATACCAGTTGGATAACCCCAAACTTCAGAAATCAGCATTTGAGATGACCACACCTGAGGTTTGCCAGTCTACCTGAGTTTGATAGGTTCGTGTAAAGGGGGCAGGCTACTTGCTTCTCATCTGCACCTTCTCCTTCCTGCCCTTGTTCTTCTGCAGTTAGTAACAGAGACTCACGGGGCTCTTGCTCCCATAGGCTCTCCCTGTTTGCACAGCCTGACTATAACTTCTTCCATAATGTTGTAGTGGAAAATGAATACCGCTGGGAGGAAACTGCATGAAAAATAGCTGAGGTTAACGAGCAAACTTAGCATCATGCACTTTTTGAAATCAGCTGTTTTCAAACTCATTTTGAAATGAGCCTGAGGTCAGAGAGGCATAGTAGCTTTCTCAAGCTCACCCAGATAGTGGCAGAATCAGGACAGGGACCTGGGGTCCTTACTTGTGATGTAAGCTCCTTCACTTTCCTTCACTTCTACAAAGCTCTCCTGGTGGTGTGTACAGGGTTCTCTTCCAGAGAGAAATGAGATGGGATGCTACACCAGTAAGATGCTTTGATGGAAAGAGGAAGATTGAGTTTTAATCCAGGCTCTGTCCAATCTTGGGCAAGTTACTTTCTCTCTTGAGGCCCCAGGCATCCTCTATGAATTAAAAGGTGTGGAATGAAGTCTCCATCTCTAGACTTGGTAGCTCTAGAATTCTGTGTCTAGATGATGGGTTGGGGTCTCAGCACTGCAGGGACTTGAGCAGTGCTCAGTCACATTTCATACAGCCCCTCGAGTTTAAAACTCTTATCATCTCTGACAACTAACTCGGAAAGTTTCCTCTTAATTCCCACTCAATGCACACTCGAAATTTCAGTGACACTGAGAACAAGAGACAGTTCCAACCTTGTAATCACCATCAGGTGAGGGAAGTCTGTATGACAAGGCGGGATTGTATTTTAAATGTTCCAGGTATACTCTTAGCTAGGCGCAAATGCCTCCTTTCCAATTTATTTATTCTGTAAGTCTAGTTTATCACATATTGAAATCACTGAAATTGGGGCCGGCCCGTGGCTCACTCAGTAGAGTGCGGTGCTGATAACACCAAGGCCTCGGGTTCGGATCTTTAAAAAAAAAAAAAAAAGAAATCACTGAAATTGGAAATATAGTTTATGTAGAATCAAGGAACAGCAGAAGAAATTGTGTGTGTGTATGTGTGTTGGTGTGTGTGTGTGTGTGCTGTGTGTGTGCGCAGCGAAGGGCCAAAATGGCCCATATCTGGCTTCAACCCATTATTCTTTCTCCTTCCTAGTCACTTTCGTTCCATCTGTGTATATGTGTCCATCATACGCCTATGCACAGAGAGACGACAATAAAGGAGAAGATGCCCTCTTCTCCCCAGGGCTCATTTTAGGCTTGTTACTTGGCACAGCGGTATTTACATGCACATAGCGCCCACTCACACGGAGGCTCGCAGAGCAATGATCCTCTCAGGCAGGCGGCCCCAGACAGCACTGCACGGCTGAGCTGCGCTGTGGAGGACCGTGGCCTGCAGGAGCAGCCCACACACATGCTTCCAAACTGTGCAGTGGTATGTGGCAGGGAGAGCGTGGACACATGCCTGGAATCCTAACAGCTGACCATGTGAGGTCTCATAGTCACAGAAGCACAAGCAGACCATCACCGGGACTCCACAGCTCCTTCCCGGGAGGCGTCAGGCTGACAGCTGCAGGTGCTCTGGCCCTTACCTCTGGGCCGGGGATCGTGGGAGAGCAGCGCAAGTATAAACTCAGGAGCAAAGACACAAGATCAATCGCTTAAAAGTAACGGTTCATGCGGCCCGAGCGCCAAGCGCCGAAAGCGGGGTCAGAGGAGCAGAGCGCAGAGGACATGCGGGGCGCGGGCGGAAGCGCACACGACACGACCCCCCACGAGCCACGCCCACACTTACACGGCCCCCACGAGCCACGCCCACACTTACACGTGCCGTCTCACGCTACCTTAGTCTGCCTTAAGCATTTCCATCGTCTGAGAGTGTGGGAGGGAAAAACACAGTGGTTAAGGTAAAATCAGTTAAGAGCTCACACTTTATTATTAGAGATTAAAAATAGTAACGTCATTCCTGGCTGTTCCATTCATAGCAGAGACGCTGGGGGATTCAGCCATGGAGAGCAGGCATGGTGGCCAGGCCTGCTGAGTTTGCACCTGCTAGCTGTGTGGCCCTGGGCAAGGGTCTTATCTTTCTGTGGCTCAGTTTCCTTATGTGTAAAATGGGTCTAATGGTAGCACTTACCTCATAAGGTTGTGGTGAGGATGGAATGAATTAATACGTGTGAAATACTTGGAATGGTCTTATTTAAGTCTAAGCACTACCTAAATTAGTCACACTACTGGTTTTTATTATTTTTATCTTTGGCTTCCTCAGGCAATGCCACCCAGACTGGAGGAATAAAATTGTATTGTAAATCAAGAACTCAAGAGAGATTTTAGATACCCAATAAGAAAAGTATTGCAGGGAAAAAGCCCAAAAAACAAAGTTAGAAATGCATGGATCGAGCAATAGTTCTATGGGTTGTTGTAATTCTTTGAGGGCATCATTTCAAATTCCAGATTATCCCAGAGCAATTCAGAGTAGCTTTTTAAGAGAGATAAGTAAAAGTCAATTGTGCACACACAGATCAACTAGACCTCTAAAGGCAATTCAAGGTCATGTACTCCTCCTCAGCTATTGCTCTCTGGATGAAGTCATCTTGCATTTTCTCAATTGTTTCCATCTTCACAGAGAATTGCTGGAAGGTGCCTGTACAGGACATGGGTGGGGGGTGAGTGCCAACTGGTTTATCTAGTCCTGCACGAGGACAGACTTCTCTCTTCCATTCTTTTCCAGAACCATTTCATCTGTTTTGACCTCCCTTGGCAGGATATTGTGGTCAACCAGGAAAGAATGAGACACTTGGTGGGGGTGACACCTTATCCTGAAAGGAACCTGCAAAAATGCCCCATGGATGACCTTGGAGGGAGGCTGCCTTTGCTGCCCATGCTCTGAGTCCCCAGGCGGCCAGTGTCAGTGCCCAGTTAGTGCCTCACTTCCCTCCTAGTGAATAACACTCTCTCCGCCTCCCGGGGTGCATCTGTACATGCAGATGGGCCTATTGAGACAGGTTTTGTTTAAAGACATGGCATGCCACAAAACTCAGACGAATGGGTTGTCTTCTCCTTCTGTCCATGGACACTTAATTCCTTCCTCTCCAATACCTCTATCTGATTTTATAGCCTCTCATTTCCTGCTTCTCATTTGGCCCTCTCCTTACTTCTCTCATTTGGTTGTTCCCTAGGTCACTTTTTATCCATTGCTGGCCTGACAAAGTTTTCAGGATAGAAGATCTAGGCCTCTCCTCTAAGTCTGTTCAAGTTCCTTCTCACTTCTTCAAAGGCATGAATGACTGTGTTGGCTCTTTTCTGGATGTGAACATTTGGATGAAGCAAATTGATAGTTTAAAGTTGGGTGCCAGAAACATCATTTCAAATGAAAAGCAACATTGGAAGTTTTCAGCTCATACATTACATAGAAGGGCAGGATGTTGAGGAACACATCAGCATCTGTTTAGTGGCCTAGTCTGTCACCTTTGCCAGAAAGGGAAAGTCACAGGCTACCCTTGCAGAGACACAGTAACGATGCTCAGCTTTGAGCCAGGTGCCTTCTTCCACCAAGCCGGAGATGTGTGAGTGTGTGTATTTGTGTTTGCACGTTGTTGTGCTCTGAGGCGGCCTCTGCTTTGAGCAGGGTTTTAACCTGGATCTTTTTTCACATGTGTAAATGTGCCCCGGGGTTGAATTTCCCAGCTGAGTAGCTGCCAGTCGGGCTGCGGGCTCTTCGAATCTGGACCTGCCTTTTTCTTCCTTGGGTGGCCTCTCACTATGTCAAGTACAGCATGCCCCACACTGCAGGAGGGGGTTAGAGCTGCCAGGAATCACAGCTTCATTTGTCTATCAGGGAAGCTGGCTTTTTAAAGATGCGGTCTTCGATCTTTCCGATGACAGGTACTGTTTCAAGGACATAGATTACAGTGCTTGGGCTCTGGAACACAGAGAGACACCTTGATCTGTTCAACACCTTTCTGAAGGGATGCTATTTATGTCATCAGAACGTTGCTCAGGCAAAAGTGCAAATGGAAGAAAGGGGCAGGGGATACTTAGAGAAGCAAAGGGATTTTTCAACCAGAAAAAGTAGGCCTAATGAATTGATGTTTGCAGAAATGTAGACATTTAAACAGAATTATTAAGCAATTAGCCAAATTATAACTAGGATAGAACACACAAGATGATTTCAAATCGAATCATTTCAAATAGGTCATTATTTTGCTTTGGAGTTATTATCATCTTGCATTTGGCTCCACACCAAATGAAGGAGGTCATTATTTTGACAGAAGAGACAGAAGCAGTAATGCGTTTCTTGTTACAGGGATGAGCAATACTACATCTCCTGGAGGCTCAATAAGCTCACCAGGCCTAGAGGACCACGTCTGGGGGGCTGGAGCCCTCCATTGGTGAGGACAGTCGGGGACTCATCATCCTGTACAGTGTGACTTTTAGTGAAGAGTTAAACAGCAGTCCCCTCTATGTTTTGCTCTGGGTGCCAGGGCCCTATCCCCTCCCAAGGCAGGCCAGATATATTTCCAGGTGTAAGCTAACAGGCTAAATTTCAGCGGGTAGCCCAGATAAGAAAAAGGTCAAAAGAAGAGGTTCTACTGCTAGAGGAGGGGCTGACGCCTGAGTAACCTTGAGAGTATTTTGGTGCTCTGTGTTCAACTCATCAGAATGACTGACTTTTAAGGATTGTGTGTGTGTGGGAGGAGCTTGACCATAGCAGACATGTTGGCTATTGGGAGCTGGGAACGATTAAGGAACTGATCTTAATCCTCTGTAGAAGTACACTCTAGGAGGGATGAAATATTCATGGGGGGGAGGGAACATAGAGAGGGAGAAAGAGAGAAGAAGTTTGAGGAAGGTCTGGACAGGGAGTAGCCCCCACTGGATATGCTGGAGGATGCCTCGGCCCCCTCTTTTATCCCTCCTCCTGCTTTCTCTGGTGTCAGGGCAGAGAAACTATTTACTTTGAGATCTAATGATACAATAAGGGGGCGGAGTACCCTACTCACTGTCTTTTTGAATTAGTAAGGGAGAATATAAAACTCGAGTTAATTAGTGCAAATAATTGTTTTAAAGATCCTTCCAGTTTTAAATTATAGCTAGTAAAAAAGAGCCAGTTGAGAGGAGGGAAGAGAGGTAGAGAGACAGCCAGCAGGCAGTGAGATTCACAGAAGAAGCAAAGAGATAAAAATGAAAGACCTGAACACAGAAGAACACTCATGGGAAAGGAGATGTGGTGTCTTAGAAACAGCAATATACGGGTGCCCAAAGACACACACACACACACACACACACGCCCACACACGTGCCCACACAGCACACAGCACATCGTAACACATATTAGACTTCCGTGAACCAACATCATTGTTTGGCCTCAGCAGGCACAAACAAAGATGCGATGTCTTCACCCTAAGATGGAGAAAATACGTCGAGTTGAAGATAAGTTTTATGCAGAATGTGGACTTCAAGCCTCTAAGAAACTCTTAGCTACAAGTCAGGTCTCAAGACAAACCTCTTCTGTGTTCCTCTGATCCCTGCAATGATCCTTCAGACCACAGGTATCATATTCCAATTAGGGCTGAGGCGATGCGACATGCCTTTGGGACGCATGTGGGCAGCACACTTTCCTCTTTGCTATGAGCCCACAGATGAAGTCTTGTTCCTCACAGCTTGTACTGGAGAACTGGTCAGAGCGCCCACTAAATATAAGGATCACTCTTATCATGGTGGATCAACCAACAGGCTGAGGTTTCCTTCATTATATAAACTTATTCATAATACTCAAAACGTAAAAAAGACAGTCTTTATGTTTCCATTTGATTTACTCAAACTTGAGTGAACAGCTGTCTCATTCATTTTAAACTTTAGAAAAACCACCAAATTGTCCCTCTGAGTAAGTATTTCTTTTATATTTGCACTAAGCCCTGGGAGCTTGGGTTCTGTAGTTTCATCTCCCACTTCCCAGGTGATAGTAGATAACAGGTGGATGCTGAGTGTTGACTGATTTTTCCTTCCAATGCATCACCTCCTGTACCTTCAGTGCTCAGTGCTGGAGGGTAGCAGTGAAAAGAACAGAAATGAAATAAGAGTCCCAGTGAAAATGATCTGTAGATGAGAAGCCTTTTAGGGAAGAAATACAAGGTGGTATTGTAGTTTAATGTTAGAGTCAAAGAAGTGTAGAGCTGGATGCACCCTTGGTAATTAATTATCCAGTCAGCTTGCTTCATTTTATAGATTAGGAAACAAAACTCTGAGAGGACAAGTGGCACAGCTTGTTGGGGACAGTCAGAGTTAGTGGCAGACCTCCTGACTCATGATCCAGTATGAGTATGAGTAATATATAAGCATAATATAATATGAGTACTGCGTCCAGCCTGCCCTGAGTTTAATCTCTTCATAAGCAAGCTCAGGGCGAAGCTAGGAAACTGCTCTAACTCCTTCAGTAAAATAAAAACCAAGTGGAATGTGTGGTCTGCCTCCATCTAGGTCACTGATCTCCAGATGTGAATAAACTACAGACCTTTTAAAAGAAATCCTCGAAGACCTCTGCTAAATTTTCTCAATGCACATTTGAAAAGCATTTACTTAAGAAAGCTAAAATCTTATTATTCTTGGGTCAGCCCGGTGGCGCACTGGAGAGTGCGCCGCTTGGGAGTGTGGCGGCGCTCCCGCTGAGGGTTCGGATCCCATGTGGAGACCGGTTCCCGCTCACTGGCTGAGTGCGGTGTGGGCGCAACACTGAGGGTTGTGATCCAGTTGCCGGTCCCTGGTACGGGCGCAACACCGAGGGTTGTGATCCCGTTACCGGTCAGTAAAAAAGACAAAAAGGAAAAAAAAATCTTATTATTCTTTGAATGTGACTTCCAATTGAGAATTCTCA